AAATTAGATCTTCCTTTAAGGAAGCTGAAATGTTGTAGGGTGTTAAGGGAAGGGACGTTGGAAGGAAGCTTTCAGAACAAGAAAACTACAATTAGGATCAAATGACCTACTGCTCCAGTCTCCAGGATAGTCAATCAAATGAGACACCCACAAATTAGAATTACAGTCCCTTCTGTAGAAGAGTTGCTGTTATCCCATCATTAGTCTTCTGGCAGGACTTTTAGACTACTTAGGTATCTGTAAAAATAGCCATCATATGAAAGAAATTCATTTTTCTTATGTTGGGACAGTATTCGCCAGAATATACATGAAATTGCCTAAAATAATGTAATGCTTTTTGGAATAGCAGAAGTGCTCCAGTTAGCCAATAGAGATAAAAGACATTGATGACAAGGGAGCTGGTTCCAGAGGCTTCCAGAACCTGCAAGCCTGAACCAAAAGGTACAAAGTTGATGAACTTTTTCTTCTAGAACTAATTGGCTAATAGTTGTTGGTGCGGAAAGATAAATATTACTTAGCAAGTTGGATCAAAGGTGTAAATATAGCATATTAAAACAGTCCACCATCTTTGAAGGCACAATTAATAGCTCCAGAACCCTTGCCTTTGCTTGACCATTTGTGGATCCTATCCATAGTATTCATGGCTCAAAGGTAAATAACATTAACTGATAATTGATTGCAGATCAGACGGATATTAAAGGTACAGCTACCCTGCCCTCCCTGCAATGCAGGCTCAGGGCGGCTCTCGGTCAGTACATAAAATACAGTTAAAACCACATAAAACCATATAAAACCATATAAAAGTGCTGAAGATAGTTACTCAAGATGGCTTATTTCAGTGTAATCTCTAAAAATCTTTCTGTTCAAGATCTTCCTGAGGCTCAGGCTGGATGTTAAAACCAAGAGCCAGGGCTATATAATGGTGGCGGCACCCTAGCTGAAAGCCTGGCGGAAGAGCAAAAGGTCCTGCAGGGCCCTGATCTCCTCTGGGAGCTTGTTCCACCAGGATGGGGCCGCCACTGAGAAAGCCCTGGTCCTGGTAGTAGTGAGCCTGGCCTCTTTTGGGCCAGGGAGGGTCAATCGATTTTGAGACCCCGACCAAAGTGCTCTCTGGGATATATATGGGGAAAGGCGACCGCAGGTATGCTGGGCCCTGGCCCTGGCCATATAGGGCTTTAAAGGTAAAAACCAGCACCTTGAAGCGGATTCAGTATGCTATTGACAGCCAGTGCAATTGCCGCAGCACAGGCTGGATGTGCTCCCACTTGGGGAGACCCATCAAAAGCCTGGCTGCAGCATTCTGCACTAGCTGCAGCTTCCGGATCGGCAACAAGGGCAGCTCCATGTAGAGAGCATTACAGTAGTCTAGTCTCGAGGTGACCATAGCGTGGATCACTGTTGCTTGTTCGGCACGGTTGAGGAAGGGAACCAACTGCCTGATCAGCTGAAGATGGTAAAAGGCCGACCTGGCAGTGGCCACTACCTGGGCCTCCATTGTTAGGGAGGCATCCAGGAGCACTCCCAAACTCCTAACCTCCGGCGCTGGCACCAATGGCACCCCGTCGAAGGTCGAGAGGGGGAACCCCACCCCCGAACCGCCCCAACTCAAGCACAGGACCTTCGTCTTCGTCGGATTCAGTTTCAGCTGACTCAGCCTAAGCCCAACCAGCCACGGCTTGTAATGCCCGGTCCAGGTCTTCCGGTCTGGAGTCGGACAGGCCGCCCAACATCAGATAGAGCTGGGTGTCATCAGCGTACTGGTGACATCCCAGCCAATGCCTCAGGGCAATCTGGGCAAGGGGGCACATACAGATGTTAACTAACATCGGGAAACATTAGCTAGAAGGGCTAATGTAAAAGTTGGCAACTCTCTGTCCAATGGATTCATCAATTATATTGGCTTGGGTCATAAAAAATAAAATTCATTAGTCTAGCAATATGTAATCTGTGTCTGTGTGAGTGTAGTACCCTATCCATCAGTATGCCCAACAAAAGATTGGGAACAATATGTTTCTCTATGCAGTTTTGGCCAGTTCCCCCAGAAGCATCAGAGTGTTGAGCAGTTCTTGATCTGGTTAAACAAGAGGGTAAAGGCTGTTCTGGTTTCCACAGACTATCTGGGAGAAGTGGTTCCCTTTCAGTTATCAGAATATGAGTTTGGTGACATCAAGTGTCATGCCCCAGAATTGTCTGCTGTTGTAGACTGTAGTCCTTCAGGTTGTTAAGTATTTGCTTCCAGAGCAGAATGTCATATGTGGTAACAGCCACTGACATATGTACATATATATGCTGATTTCTCACTACTACTTACCATTTGATGACTTACAGCAGAGTATAAAAGCTCTAAAATACATAATCTGTGGTTGCCACTGATTTCTGTTGTGTGTGATAAGAACATTGGAAATGGATTGGTGTTTTGCTCTCACGCCAAGTTTTTGCAGAAGGTGCAGGCAGCACTCATTGCTGTTACCGTCTATAAGACCCCAGCCGGAAAGGATAAAAGGTTTCTTCTTGTTTCCTGCATGGATAACTGTTAAAAAACTTTTTACTTATGTAATATATACATAAAACTTCTAATTGGTTCCATCGGGAAGAAAGAATAGGTAGCTTTCTCCCCCATAGGCTGACATTTGCTAGAAGTCCATCTGTGCTTGCTACAGATGAGCAAGAGATTATTGATTGATTGATTGATTGAATGATTGATTGATGGCATTTCTCTCCCACATTCTTGGAGATTAAGAACCAATCAAATCTCCTAATGCTGAACAATAAAAAGTGAAGAAGTAGAAGCCATTTAAAATGACATAAAATAGTACAATGGCAGCAGTAAAACAATTTAAATGACCAATGGCAAAATACAGAACAATATTAAAATCAGTAACAGAAACTGGGATTATCAGCCCCCCCCCCCGTTCCCTAGATCAGCAGAAGGCATGGGTGAGGGTAGGTGTCTTCAGCTTGCCCCTATAACTTTACAGTCTTAGTGCCAAATAATAATGGGAAAGGAGGTCCACAGCTAAGAGCCCCTGATGGAGAAGGCCCCATTTCTTCTGGCTGACCACTCTAGCTCTGTAGGCACATAGAACAGGGCTCCTGAAGACAATGTGAACAAGTGGGCAGGTTCATATGTACTCAGATAGTCTTTTAACCATGCTTTTTGTAATGCTGGTTAAAAGTGAAGAACACACTTGGTCCCAGAACGGCCTGGGACCAACATATCTGAGGGACTGCCTCTTCCCATATACACCCTGAACAGAGTTATGCTCTGTGAATCGACTTCTCCTGGTGGTTCCTGGCCCGAATGACATCCATCTTGCCTTGACCAGGGCCAGGGCTTTCTCTGCCCTGGCCCCTGCCTGGTGGATCATGCTCCCCATTGAGATCAGGGCCCTGCAGGATCTCCTTCAGTTCTGCAGGGCCTGTAAGACAGAGCTGTTCCTCCAGGCTTTTGGCTAAGGCAGTGGGCGCCACATATGGCCTCCTTGTGGTGTCTGTCCCCTGTCTTCCATCCAGCAATACCTGGCTACTCACCAGCCAGGTACCAACGAGCCAAGGAAACCTCTCTCAATCACTCAATCTCTGACCACCGATTTTAATGTTGTATTATTGTGTTTAAAATTTTAATCATATTTATTGTATTACCAATATGTTGTTTTCCGCCATGAATCTGCTAACAGGAAGGGCAGGCTACAAATATGAAATAAATAAACAAACAAATATTTATATTCGGGTTAGCTGACCTGAAAGGTCTTTTTGGCTTAGCCTTGGAAAAGCTGTATCTGGGTGTCAAAACATGGCCCACGGGCCAGAACTGATCTGTCCAGAGCTTTTATCCAGCCCTCAAGCAACTGGTCATTACCTTCTATTGCCAGACGACACAGGCTGTGCATTATGTCCCTGCATAATGTCCCAGTGCTAATGACTAACGGGCAGTAGAAATGGGAGGGAGGGCATCAGGGAGATACTGCAAGGGAATACTGTGAGTGTTAATGCTTAAAGCATGTTTGTATTGTGTGTAAACTTTAATGTTGTTAATTGGGTTTGCCTGTGTCCTTTATAAAGTTGGTATCTCCAGTACCTGGGCTGAGGGGTGACATGATCGAGGTTTATAAGATTATGCATGGGACAGAGCAGGTCAAGAAAGAAGCACTTTTCTCCCTTTCTCACAATACAAGAATTCATGGGCACTCCATGAAATTACTGAGCAGTTGGGATAGAACAGATAAAAGGAAGTACTTCTTCACCCAAAGAGTGATTAACACATGGAATTCACTGCCACAGGAGGTGGCGGTGGCTACAAGTATGGACAGCTTCAAGAGGGAATTAGATAAACATATGGAGCAGAGGTCCATCGGTGGCTATTAGCCACAAGGTATAGATATAGATAGGAACTCTCAGTTTGGGGCAAGTGATGCTCTGTATTCTTGATGCTTGGGGGGGCAACAGTGGGAGGGCTTCTAGTGTCCTGGCCCCACTGATGGAACCTGGTATTTTTTGCCACTGTGTGACAGAGTGTTGGACTGGATGGGCCATTGGCCTGACCCAACATTGGCTTCTGTTATGTTCTTACATTTTATGGCAGACGTGGCCCTGCGACAAAGTGACATTTATGTCAAATCAAATGAGTTCAACACCTCTGAGCTATGTGCTGCTAGGTCAAGGGGAGAAGAAGACAGATTCTGGACACATAGTCAAAAAGAAATATGTGAGAGAACCACAAGATGGCCTGCAAGACAATAAGAAACGGAGGGAAAATACAGGGTTTAAACAGAGTAAGATAGATAGGCATACAAAAGCTAAATTTCACATTGTCCAAAATGCCCATCCAGAATGTTGGCCTGGCAGGTTTTTAGTTATGATAAGCATATTAGTGGTGACCGAGGGTGCATCATTTTGTTGCTGCAGTGACCCTATTAATACTGTTGTTTGTTGCATTTAAAATTTTAAGATAAGGAGAGTAATTTTCTAAGGTTTTGTGATTATTCGCTTTCTCCTCCCAGTGGAATGAGACTATTGAACTCTTTCGAGGTGGCATGCCGTTACGGAAGCATCGCTGTCATTTCAAAAGCTACGAGCGTTGCTTCACAGCATCAGAGGCAGTAGACTGGTTGCACAGACTGCTGAGGCACAACCAGAATTTTAGCCCAGAAGTAACTCGTGCTCAAACAGTTCAGCTCCTTAAAAAGTTCCTGAAGAATCATGTTATTGAAGATATCAAAGGAAGATGGGGCAAAGAGGATTTTGAAGACAACAATCATTTATACCGGTAAATAACTGACTAGTGGTGTTGTTTGGGGTAAAGTGTAATTATTATTTTTTTAATTTCGATTTTTATCCTGCCCCTTCCCCAGCAATTGGGGCTTGGGGCAGTTAACAACATAAATACAAAGCATAAATAAAAATACAAATACTCTGTAAAACAGTTTACTACACACTGGCTCTCTGGCATGACAATTAGAAAAGCTGATAGTACGCCCAGTAAGAATGCCTCAAAGGAATGCCTGGAGCAATAATTCCATCTTACAAGGTTCGTGGAACTTAGGTCCCACAAGGTACAAGTTTCTTCAGGCAGAGCATTTCACCAGGTTGGTGCCACAATCAAAGAAGCCTTTGTTCTGGTTGAAGAGCTAGCTAGATTTTCCTGTAAATGTTATAGATGTAAACTGGTATTTTAATAAATGGAAATGTAACTCAAAGGTATTGTTACTGTTAAGTGTATGGATTGTATCTAACAGTCTAATCAGAGAGCCAGTTTGACGTAGTGGTTAAGAGTGTGGACTCTAATCTGGGAGAACTGGGTTCGATTCCCCACTCCTCCACATGCAGCTGCTGGTGTGACCTTGGGTCAGTTACAAGTTCTTTCAGAGCTGTTCTCTCACGAGCAGTTCTCAAAAGCGCTCTCTCAGCCCCACTTACCTCACAGGTGTCTGTTGTGGGGACGGGAAGGGAAAGGAGATTGTAAGCTGCTCTGAGACTCCAAGTGAAGGGCAGGGTATAAAACCAATCTCTTCTTCATCAAACTGAGCCTTCCTCTGGTGCCGTGCATCTCTGAAGGTAGTGGAGAAAGGTTCCAGAGCTAGCAGACTGGGACTTTTGAACCAACCCAGTGCCATGAAATATTCTATATTATGCATTCCATCTTCACAGTGTCTTCTCAATGTGTATTAATAATTTTCTTAATGCACTAGTTAGGAGACAGCACCATTAAGGACCTTTGTTCATTTCAGCCTTTGGTGAGCCAGTGATTTAACCTTTTAATTCCAGTTTCCCTGTTCCAAAGTGCTTTTTGTCTCAGTCATACTCCCAGAAGGCTTCAGAGTAAAGGGACTAGATATCTGTTTCAGTTCTATATTAACTTCAGAGAAGACAGAAACTTGTGCATGCCTGGACAGAGGGCTTGTTGATTACTCAGGATATCTCTGGAAAATGTGACCTCTTTTGACACTGACTGGAGGGAACAAAGATGTAGTAAATGAAGTTAACAACTAATGTCTTTTCTGAGTTCTCCCACAATTTTCTTTTTGCTTGTGAGGGTGCACCACCTAAATATCCCTTGTATCTTAATCTTATTTATTGCACAATAAGGGAAAAGGTTCTTTCCCTCCAAAGGTTCTGTTTTTCATTTAGGCTAAGCTTTAATTACTTGAGGCCAGGATTTAGCCTAAGCTTTAATTACTTGAGGCCAGCCCAGACTTGTATAAAGTGTGAATGTGACAAATTGGCAGGGGAAGAAGGCAACTCTATCAAGCCCTCCTCTGGCTAATTGGGGGCTGTGGCTCAGTGGCGGAGCACATGAAGGATCTAGTTTCAGTCCTAGCATCTTCTTCAGTTAAAGGATCTTTAAAGGATCTGGAGGACTTTTAAAAACACCCAATGTATTATTTTGAGATTTCAGATTTTTCTGCAAGCCTGGAGCATTTTTCAGGTTTGTCGAACGATCTATTCATCGCTCCAGTCTCTGGATTTAAGTATCCTCAGGTTATTAGAATATAAGAAGTTGGGGGACCCTCAAGGACTTGCAGAGTGCATTGCATTCCCCCCTCCCTCACTATATCCTCTTTCCCATTCCTAAAAGCCCCCACAGCCTCTCCCCTTTTCCTGCTGTCTTTTCCACCCACCAGCCTTTATCTGCCCCCGTCTTCAGCTTGCCATCTATAATTTGTGCCGTTGATTTACATCACTCCTTTTGTTCCTTATAGATTTTCAAGATTTTTGCACAAAATCGTTTTCAGTCCTGGGGCTGGGTGGCCTTTCACATTCCACCCTAGAAGAAAACCAGGAGACTTTATCAGACTACACCCTAGTCAGCACCTTTTAGCATCAGCTTGGTAATAGGGCAAAGAGCAAGCTCTTCCCAGAAGCATCCACTCCCAACTCTTCTCTGGGAGTGGAATGCAAAACAGTGCCTGAGACAATGGGCGGGTTTGTCCCTGCCGTGCAGTTCTTTCCATAAACAGCTTACCTGATGGGCAGTTAAGAGTCTTGCAAGAGGGAACTTGATTCCTCCTCCTTTTCTGACATTGGTGGCGGATCTGAGTATTAAATAAAACACAAGTATTGGCACCTTTCCAAAACATGCCCAGTCTTCTGCAATGCCTTCCTCTAATTACTTGTTCAGAACAAGTTTATGCGAAGAGTGCTGCAGTAATCCATGCTTGATGATGGTTACAAATGTTGGTCATTGACTCAGAATATAAATCTAGGACTCCTTAGTGGGACAAAGAGAGAGCCCAGTGTTAGCCAAACTGCCTTAATTTATTAATAAACGTGGGGAATTATGAGTATTAAATGTCAATAGGCATTAAATATAGGCTCAAAACCTGTGTATACGGGAGTTTGAGTTCTCAGTCCCAGCAGTAGTTGCAGAGGCTAGATTACTAAAGCAGTGATTTCTTTACTGAAGGATTCTTAAATATACAAACATAAAATCAAGCATTCACACACACAATACAGAACTAAGAAAGCAGAGGTGATTGATAGTGAATAGAGGAGTCAGTTACTGGGTAATATTACCTGCCCAGACGTGCAGAAGTCCTTGAAGACAATAGCACCAACAGCCAGCATTATGTGCTATGAGGGGGCAGAGAAAAAGAGAGCATGGTGTGTGTGTGCGTGGACGGATATAGACTTTGGAAAATAATGCTGACCAATGGGAGGTCTTGAGGGGCTTGTCTCAGGTGAGGACAAACGATTACCTGGGCCAATCCTGGGTCCCAGGGGGTGTGGCATCATGAGGAGCCGGACCTGGATGCAACCAATGACATTCCAGAGGGGCAGAGTCAGGCTTAACAATGGCCTTGATTAAATCAGCCAGGTGCTGGGTGGCTACTTGAATGGGTTTTCCGACCACTAATGGTCCAGTCAAGGCAGTCAAAAAGGTTCCCAAGTCTAGAGAAAAGATGGGAGATGGGTCCCTTATTCGCATCAGGAAGGATCGTTAATTATTTGAATGTTTGGTTTATCTCAGTATCCTGAGGGATGGAGCAAGGAAGGACAAAGAATTCACACATAGATATGAGACCACACAAAAGGGCTGGGTGAGGTACTGGAGACAGGAGGGCTGGTTGCCAGGTGGCCTCTGAATAGCATTTAGAAATGTAGATGTCTTACCTGGTGGAACTGCCATTGTTTCATATGCTGCCTGGTTGTCACCTGAAAATGGAGACCCTATTTCCAGAGCTATGCCTTGCTCTGTGTTTTCAGGTCTTCCTTGGCTTGAATTTTGTGGGTCTCTGGTTCAGGTCAGAAAGTGGGGTGCCCTTGCTATTGGGGGCTACCCAAGAGTAAAGGCAGTGCCTCTGGCCACACCAGACCACAGACCTAGCTGGGAATGAAACAAATGATGTCTGGGGCAGGCTGCTCAATTCTTTTCTCAAACAGCATTAATCTTGAAATAGTTAGCCAAAACTAACACAGTTAGGAGGGTTCTACCTTTTGACAGTAATTGCTAAGGTGTATCTCACTATTGCCGTCTGACTTGTCTGGAGGTGGAGAATAAAAGAAGATTCATGCAGCATGTAATTTCAGCCTTTCCATGCATGGGACCACATTTGACATAATCACAAGTGTTTACACACACCACCTGTGTGTCATTGTTTGAAATTTAGATTATTATGAGCAACAGTGAGTTAGCATGACTGATAATCTCTTGACTGTTCCCTCCTTGGGAAGTAATGGAACCCACTCAGTGGAGATGACTCCTTGTTTGTGTGCTATGTAGTTCTGAGAAATAACTTAATACTGGGAGCGTACACCCAGAAGAGTTGTTGAGATTGGGGCCTTTGTCTGCTTCATTCTGTTCTCCTTCCTACAAGCACCCTGTGTAGGGTATAGTAGTAAGGCAGCTGAAAAATCTAAATATCTTAATAAATAGTGTGTCTGCTCAGCATTTGCTGTATTGTGTTCCTCTCCTTTCTGCACTGTCCCTGTCTTTTCCCTTCATCCCTTTCCTCATCCACAAAAACTATCCACAATGGAGCAAGTCTGGAGGTAGTTTTCTGTTTTGCAATACTCTCCATGGTTTAAAATTAGTACCTTTTGCGATCTGCTTGTTTTCTCTTCTCTAACTGTCTCTTTTGTCTTGTGAAACATGAATTGCATTACTTTTTAATCTACAAATTTAGAGTCCGGTGGCACCTTTAAGACCAACAAAGGTTTATTCAAGGGTATGAGCTTTTGTGTGCATGCACACTTTTTCAAATATTTTCCCTGAGTTTTCCATCAGTTTTTAAAAAAATGTTTATTGTTCAGCACCGATAACCTTGTTTGCTGTCAGCCAGTGCTTTTTTTCTGGGGGAGCATGCCAGAATGAAATTCAGGAACCTCTTTTGACAACATTTTTTTTAATATGTTTAAAAGTTCATGAGTTTTCAGTATACAGATTGAAAATTTCATTTCCCGCTTGAGAGTTCCAGAACCTCTTTTTCAAAAAAAAACCCCACCAACCCACCCCTGCTCAGCCATTCAACAAATTGATTTCAGCTTGGCAGGTTTTACAAGATTTTTTAATTCTTTGTATGATTGTCATATTGAATGAATGAATTTCTTGTAAGTACTTTTCTGGTGACAAAAAGTCATATTGTAGTCTGTGTTCTCTTCCACAACATTTCGTTTTAAAATAGTGAATGTATTTGTAGCTCCCCCTGCTGGACTGTTGCATTATTGTACAAACATTCTTTTTAATCTTTAAATCATCAGTGATTTTTATAAAAACAGGCCCTTTTTTGAGAGAGAGAGAGATGTGTAGATTTCACTGGTACATGTTGGAAGTTTATTTACACAACAGTTAGTGATGCACAAAGTCTAATTGATTTTTCATTTATTTTCAAAATAATTGCATGGATTGGTCATTCATACTTTCATAAATAGAGAAAAAAAGAACAAAAAGTGTTGACTTAATAAGAGACCATTCCTTGGGGTTGTATTCAAATTTCATTCAAGGTCAGAACATTAAATTCTGTCGAAATTATGCTAAGAGCAGATTTGCAAATCTGTAAACAACTTGAGTTAACTGAGAAGATAAATAGGGACTTATTCCTTGAAGAACATATTAGTTTCTGACTTTTCATTTATTTCATTTCTCTGTATGGATCTTTGCTCATTTATCATTCAAATATATCTGTATTGGTTGACCCACTGCATAAGTTGGCCTACTTCTGGGAAGAATCCTCATTAACAAATCAGCAGAAACACTTTTTGCTACTTCGGCATCTTTTTTGAGGTTAGCATGGCCAATTATGTGTATTTGATGTATTTATTTTTTAAAAACTGGATTATAACAACAAAGTGTAGATGAGAGGGTTTCCCCCATTGTTTTTACAGACCAGATTTCATGATAATTTTACAATGCCCTTTTATTGTAGATTTCCTCCTTTCTCGCCGTTGAAACCATACCCAAAACGACCTCCATTCCGAAAGGAAATTATTAAATTTCCAAACTGGGATGATACTGAAAAAGATACTTTCCAAGAACACATACCAATAAAGCAAATCACATTGGTAAGATATACATCAAATCGGTGTTTGTATGGTGGAACGACAGCTAACTCTTAAGAAATGCACTGTAGTAATGTAGTGTTATTTGGAACTGTGATGTGTAAAGGTATAGTCAACAATTCCCTGATTATACAGAACCTACAGCATTGATTTCAATGAAATATAATTGTGACTAAGTTTGTTTGGACTAGAATCAGGTTGCCATTGCTGTAGAAACAGTGTCTTTGTTAAGTGAAAGTATCACAAACTAAGAAACAACTTTTCTTCTGCTATAGAACTCTGAAATGTGGTTCAAACGTCACAGTATAGCAATTGGAGAAGTACCAACATGTAGATTTGTACACCGTCGACTGTTAACAGAGGCAAATATAGAAGAGATATGGAAATCCATGACACTATCTCAGTAAGTTCCTTTTCAAACTAAGGTGATATAATAAGTATGTGTCAGAACCCATAGCCAACAACGAAGTACACGCATTCAGGAACGGTTATACTTTTATTGCAGAGCTATAGATGCAGTAACATAGGCACTGTTAAGAATGGTGGCGGCCCCATGGGCATAATAGGATATAGGGTATTTGTATGCACACACACACCCCCAGCACTGGCCAATTAGGCACCCTCCCGCGCGCGGGATAAGGCTTAGAGCTTAGTAGCTGAAGCTGAGAACGAACATTCTCCCACAACACCTAGGGACAACCCAGACACCACAACACCCTCCTGCACATCTGTATAGATAAGCGTTTCGGCACACAGCAGAGAAAGCACAGAAAGGAATGCAATAGCAATTAACCAGATACAGACCAAACTCCCCAACCTTCATGGCAGCATAGCTGACAGTATGAAGCAGTGCTCTACCAAAAAATAGTGGTTCCATGCTAAGGAAATCCAGGATCTGTAAATGGATTTGCACGTTGATTTGCAATTCCAGTCCTTTTTAAAATCCTGTGACATTTTTATAACACCTACTGCTGATCCCCTCACAAGGAACTTGTTATTCCGCTTGTTGGGAAAAGTTGCTGTTCTCCAATGTACATATTGCAAGCACAGAGTGTCTCTTGCTTGTCAGCTGAGGCCTTTAGATATTACAGCAAACAAAGCCAACCCAAACCTAAACGCAAAGCTTTGCAAACATGAGTATTACTTGTTGTCTGATGGTACATGGTGAGGTTTTGCTTTGCTTGTTTCCTTTTAAAGATGGATGACTGGATTGCATCCTATGAACTGTAAGTGGAAGGCACTTGTGGTGGTAGGTCTTTCCCAAGGCCCCAGAAAAAAATAAAGCTGGGGAATTCAGGAAGTCATATCAACAAAATGCCACAAGACTTGTAATTCTGTAGTGAGGAGGATGAATTGGGTAAAATTATTCTTCCTCTTCCTTGTGCAAATGGAAAGTTTGCTCTGCTCCGCTTCCTTTGTCATCATGGGGAGGAGTAGGCGACAATTTTGCCCAAGTCCTTTTCATGGCAGTCTCCCATGTGCATGGCATGTTGTCCATGAGGGTCTTTTGGATCCAGCATTGGGGTTTTTTGGCATCTTAGGGGCTTGATGGAGGAAGCAAAAGCCGGGGGGGGGGGGATTGTCTCTGTCAGCCCATTGTTGTTTTGATTAGTAATATTTCAGTGTGGCTTCATGCTGCTGATGAAAACCGTGTAATCAGTTTTAAGTCTCTGTGGCAATAAGAATGTAAACGAGTGAGTTGTAATATGTGAGTTGCCTCCAAATAATTGCATGTTTAGTCTGATCTTTTAATATATTTTTTTAACACAGCTTGCAAAAAATTTTAGGCTTGGATTCCCTAGAAGATGTGCTGGACACCAAACTTGTGAACCCAAAGCATATAATCCAGAATGTGTATCATATCAACAAGCAGGGAGTTGTCATTTTAGAAGATAAATCAAGTAAGAGGAGCCGTCTGTTCTTGTTGTTTCTTTTCCAGATGTTGTGCTGACTTTTCTGATAGCAGAAGCCATCTAGAGTATTAGAGACTGAGTAAAAGATTGTTCACTGTCAAGAGACATTTTGGAAATAGTATTTAAATATACCCAATGGCAGTTCACAGAGGAACAAGTTTAAAAGACAGGTCCCTGTCCCAAGTAAATTAAAGCCTGAATGTTGACCCTACAGGGATGAATGGCAGGCAAAGAATAAGAAGGAATAAATATATGTTAGTTATGCATACTTAGGTTTTCTTTGATTGAGGATGATGTTATTAAGCTGGCATCTTTATGGCAAACATGCATTTTCTGGAAGGACTGGAGGGAAGACAACACCTGTTAAACCACTTCTTTTGTGTGTTCAGGAAAGGAATTTATGACAATAAGGATCACTACGAATGGGGAGGCAGGAAACCTTGAGGTGGAATACACTTTTCAATGATACATTTTTGGCGTATTAGTAACTCCCCAATAACCAACAGAGTATTCCTGTCAGTTGTAGGAATGAAGTTGGAGCTGCTAACCTTAAAGGATTAAAGGTTGTATCAATAAACTTTGATTTTTTATGAGCCGTATGTAAGTAAAACAGTATATATAAAAACACAGACCCAGAAATAAAACATCGGGCAGGAAGGAGAGGTCCTGGAGGGAACACAAGTTTTAATAAAGAAGTCTTCACCCACTGGCCGCTCCTTTAGAAGGAGGCAGGCAAATCTCCTGGTGAGGAAGTTCCATAACCGAGAAGGCTCTGTCTTGGGTTGACACATGTTTAACCATAGAAAGCAGGGTCATCTGAAGCAGGGCTCCAGAAGCTGACCATCATGAAACTCAGGATGGTTTACGCAGGATTCCAAGATGGTCTCTTATCCAGTCATTTACAAAATTTAAAAAGATAGAGAGCAGATTTTTCAGGCCGTGATGTTAAAGGTCTGGTCGTGTGTACATTGTCTGAGGGATGCAAGCAGGCAACCTTTCTGCCGCCGTGGCGTTAAGTGTTTCCTGTGTCCGCAGCTTGTTTGATGTGCTTTGCGCAGTCTGTGTTGATACCTTTAAAAAATGTAATTTTTTAAAAATCCTTTTGAAATGCAGAGGAGCTACCTCATTGGGTGCTGTCGGCAATGAAGTGTCTGGCAAATTGTAAGTATTGGTTTCATTGCAGCGAGGTGAGCAATGATTTTTCCTTTTCTATATAAAGAACGATAAAATCTGTCATCCAATTATGTGAGGCTTCTTTTGGCATTGCACCTGGAGAGCTGCTGCAGCTGTTTCCCTCTGTGCTCTGTCAGGTGAGGCCTACCCCATCCTACCACTCCCCTGAGCAAAGTTTATTTACTTACTTATCAACATATTTGTACCCTACCTTTCCTTTTGGCTCAAGTTTAAAGCCTTTCTCCAGATCATGTGGCTCTTCTGTGGGCAGGCCACTTACATTAGAGGAAGGCTACTTGGAGGGTGACTGCATCTGGATCCCAATATCATTGGAAGTTTGAGGTCACTGGGGAGGAGCCAACACCAAGGCTTCTGTCAGCACTGTCTAAGTTTGTGTAAACTGAAATACTGGTGGAACATGTCTTCTTCCCAGGGGATCTTGAACTTCTGATATTACTGAATGGTGTCAGAAGGATACAGACTAAATGTCTGCCTGTAGCGATTGCAGAAGTTTTTTCTCCACATCTGAGAGTTCATAAGAAAAGGTAATAAGTTTCCCTTGGGATCTTCCTCTTCATATATTATTTAAATACAGAAATGATACCCACTTAAGATCTTGTTTACATCTTCGGGCATATGAGAGCTTGACAGGATGGCTCAGCTTGTTTTTCTCACAAGAGCGTCAATTTTGCCGCTTCACTTCCTCCTGAGTGTTTAATGTGGTGCAGAAATAAAGATGATACAACAATCAAGGTGGAGTTGGCCCATCTGCTGACTCCATGTTTTCTTCTGCAGGGCTGTGTCCTTTAGGGTGCTTCTTGCTGTTATAACTGGAGGTAATTTGTCAGATCGAGTGTTGCTAAATGAGGTGGCATTAAGTATCTTGGGTTCTTTGATCAAAAAGTTAGGAGCGATTGAGAATCAGCAAATTGAGAGAGAGCAAAAGAGGGAGAGAGTGCAAATAAGTTGCTGCTTATTTAGGTATATTTCTAGGGTTGCCAAATCAGATTGGCGCTGGAGCGGGGGACTTCAGCGCTGCTCCGGGCGTGCGTGCGCGCACGTCGCAACCCCATCGCCCGGAAATGACGCAACCACGCTGGGCAAGCTGGGGGCGGGGCCACGACCATCCAAGGGGAAACCATAGTGTTTTCCCTCGGATGACTGTGGCCCCGCCCCTAACACGTCCAAGTCACCTCTGGGTGACATGCACGTCGCGTGCTTTGGGGTTGGGATTCCCCCCAGGGCCCGATCCGGCGGCGGCGGGTAAAGGCCTCTGGGGCGGGGGTTTCCCTGCCCCCCGGGGGGACTTGGCAAGCCTATATATTTCTGTTCAACAATTGATCAGCCTACCACTGGAAGTCATCTTGACTTCTCTTGCAGGCAGTGGCTAGAAAGGGTCTGTAATGGCTGCCACCACTCTGGTATGGGTCTCCTTGGGAGGGCCCAGAGCACCCACTGTACCCCTTTATACATTCCTTTTCCAGTAGGTTCTTCCTTATAAGCAACCAAATGAGGTGTGAGGACCCACATAGAGTCACAAACTATTTTTATTAAAGAGATTTAACAGCAACTGTAATTCAATAACTTGTAGGAAAAATGAACACAGTAAAGGTAGGTAAACCAGCACAATAAGAAATCCTAATGTGTCTGTCCTAGCCTTCTCCCAGGTATTTTCCTCAAACTTACCACTTTTGGATGAGGGATCCCTCCTTTTGCAGCAGCCTCAGCAGCTGTGCTCCCTGGGAGTGAACCACCTCCTACTTTGGGCAAAGCCTTTTATTCCTTCTTCCCAGGAACCGCCCTCTACTGGTATAAGTTTTCCCTCCAAATCCCCTGTTAGCCAATCACAGGGTCCAGAGGGTACCTGGGAAATGTAGGCCCTGTAGTCACTCTAATACAGGCTTCCCTGGAGCCACTAGGCCTCCCTAGAGCCTGTAGGCCACATTACTATTGGCCTAGGATCATGACAACTCCTATATTGTACACTGTCCTACACTGTAATGTTTTGGATTACTCTGCAGTCTCCCAGAGTTGATTCAAGTGTTTCAGGTATTCACTTGGACAAATGACTTAGAATTTGCACAAAAATCAGGCCTGTGGGGAAACATCTGTGTTAATCCATCTGCTATAGTGAAACTTCTGTCGAAATCAGCATCTGTTCTGTGCCTCTGGATATCAGCACACGCAGCAACTTCCCTTAGCACAGCAACGCCTATTGGCTATCGCAAACCCTGTGAGGATATGTATTGTAGCCATCTGCCCACTGTCTTTCTCTGTAGCCTTTCTGATCTTGTGGAATAGCCTTCCAGAAGAAATTAGGAAGGCTCCATCTATTTTGCAATTATGTGAGGGCTGTAAGAAAGAATTTTCCAAGAAGGCTTTTGGATTCTCTTGATGAACTCTATACCCTGTTGGTTTTAGGGGCTGCTAGTTGATGCTATTTATAAGGGTGTTTTAATAGTTCAGTGTTTCAAACTTGCTGTGATTTAAACAGTTTTTAATTAGATAGCAACCTTAGCCCCGTGTTGCCTGAGAGAAAGGTGGGTTTATAAATGTTGAAAAGAAATAAACTTATTGCCAGGAAGAGTGCCATTCAGGCCCAATACGTGGTTATCCCCAAATCTTCAATGCCCCGAAGTCAGGGCAGGATGAAGAATCTACCAGCTCTCCCTCTGGGAGCTGCTCTGGCCAGCAGTGCAACACTCTCTCCCTCCTTGGTTATATAGGATGGGAGGGAGGCCTGGAACAGGTAGCCTGTAGCCTCTGCAGAGGGGCTTGGCCAGGGGAGAGGGAGAATCAAAAGACCCCAAAGACACTGAGTGGGATCTTCCTGGGGCTCAGTAACCAAAAGCGGCAGGAAAATGGTTCAGCTGGAGCTTTCAGGATGCTGCATTGCGTAGAGAGCCCATTCCTGCCCTGGGGAAGAAGGGAAGCCGGTGTGTGCGTGCAGGAAAGCCAACTAAGGAGGATGATGAGAGAAAGAGAGAAGCCAGAGCACCAAAGGAAGAAGGACCAGAGCTGGAGAAAGGCAATGGAGACAAACTGGGGAGGGGGTTCAGGTGGAAAGGCAGAAGAAATCCTTCCCGGGGTCCTGATGTCACACATCTCTCTTCGCAGACGGCTTTCCCAAGATGAAGTCCTGTTTTCTCAATGCCCTGCTCTGAGGGCATGATTGAGGCACACACCCCTCCCTGCAAGAAAAAAGGAGGTTTTAATTATTTAATCTAATTAGTGCCCCAAACCCCCCCCCCCGAAAAATCCTGGCTACGGGGATGGTGCCCCCTCTCCCATTGTCAGTCAAAAGGGAAAAGATGAGGAAAAAGTGGCATCTTAGCAGCTGAACTTGTTGGCTTGTGAAAGTTGAGTTGCTGACCCATTTGCTTCTCAAACTGACCTTCCAGAAAAATTTGTTGAGACAGAGGCTTACGTAGACACAGATTATGCTATAGGGGCATTTTCAAACATATGACACCCCTCCTCTTTCCCCATGTACATTTTGAGGCAGTACAAGTTGAAAGAAAAGACTGTCTCAGGACTCCTGTGCTTTTGAATTGTCTCTTAGTCCAGGGAATCCTAAAATGTCCTGCAATTAATGGAATGGTAAAATAGGGATTGAACAATGCAGGTAAGAAAAGGCAATCTTTAGAATAGCATATGTTTATAATTTCTCACGTGTCTCAACTTGCTGAATATTTTTATTATTATTGTTTTGTACAGAGTGTCTTAAATCTTTTCCTGAAATTGATTCTGCTATTGAGTAGAGATTTAATTGGTGATATTTCTACAACCCGTGCAGGCTGAATAAGAATATTCTTTCTTTCTTTAGGGCCCAGGTGTCCAGATCTGAAACAACCTACTTACTTAGGATTTGAAAGAGATGTATTCAGGACTATAGCTGATTACTATGGCCACATGAAAGAGCCTCTTCTCACTTTCCAGCTTTTTGACATCTTTGTCAGTGTGTTAGGTAAGCTATCACTTTGCTCGATATGGACCAATGTTGTGCATTCTAATCCACTGCAGAATGTATCACCTGCATTTAAAAAAAAAAAAAAAGAGTTAGTACAAGAGGACCTGAATTCAGGTCAGGGCTGCAACATGGAGATAATTTAACCCTCTTCCCTGCACTATGTTCTTTTATTCAGTTCCACTTCACTTAAGTTCAACCAGTTGCCAGCAAGCTTCCATTTTTGTCGGTCTTTCTCTTCCCCTCTTCCCCTCAGCTCTGTGACCAGCTCATACCTGCCAGCCTCACGGGGTCCAGAAAATGCAGTTTTAAGCCACTTCTAAAACAAAGGCTGAGAATCAGTAGAGGGGGCAGGAGTGGGGTATACCCAATCTGATTCTGTCAGTACATGCTAAAATTACAGAGACAATCCAGAGTGATATGGACCTGCTTAAACAATAAGACATTTAGACTATTAATTAGGACTTTTCAATCAAAGTTTATCTTGACACAAAGACTTTTTAACACAATTCTTTCATTAATCAGCACTTTTAGCTAATAAGGATTTTTCTTGTGGCTGGAGTGCTTCACAGTGGTGTTCTCTCTCTTCTGAATACATCCAGTTTGCCTCTAAGACTCCTAAATTTGAACACTTTTAGGGAAATCTCATTTCTAAATTTATTGGGCAACACATCATAGCAGTTTGCTGGTGAGTTTTAGTCTTCAAAATAATCTTAATTATTACATCAGGTAGTTGAAAATGCATGCCTGCAATGATGCAATCACTTAATTGCAGATGACACAGTAATTAATAGTTCATGACAACTAATGCTTCTCTCATGATGTTGATTGCAAGATTTTTGTAGCAATGCTGATTTTGAACAATGAACCCTTCCTTAATTTGTCACAAGCAGCACTTTCCCATTGCTTTGCACTCTGCTGATACGGTCCTCTTTAATGCCAGTGGGAGTATCCAAATTTTGGCTGCGTGGGATTTGAATATTGGTTTGGCCATGAGCCATGCAACAACTGCCATTGCTACTTGAATATGGCTAGAGCAGTCACAACCACTTTTTGCTAAGAGCAGGGCATGTGTGTCCTTGACTGGAAACTGATTCAAACTTTTGACCAGTCACTGCTGTCTTGTCAGTTGTTGCACAGATTACAGGATCAGTCTTTGCAGTATCCTGACTGTAGTTGTGCTTGAAATTAATGACCACAATCAGAGTACTGTAGTGGGCATAAAAGCATCTTGGAATTCATTGAAGATAGTAACTCAGTGTACAGCAGTAGTGGTGATGGGGAAGCAAATTCAGTGTTGGGAATTATTAGGGAAGGGATTAAATTATACAAACTACTATTGCAATACCCTTATGTAAATCTATAGTATGGTTGTATTTGGAATACGGTGTACAGTTGTAGTCACCTCATCTCAAAAAAGACATTGTAAAGCTGGGAAAGGTGCAGAAACTGACAACCAAAATAACGTTGGAATACCTTCCTAGAGAAGGAAGATGTTTTGGGCTTAGAAGACATGGCAATTCAGGAGAGGCACAGTGCAGATCTATACAGTTATTCATGTGATGACAAAAGTGTACAGAAGGAAGTTTTCACCCTCTGCTATAATTCTTGAACTTGAGGTCCTTCAGTGAAGCTGATTGGCAGGAGGTTCAGGACAGACAAAAGGAAGTTCTTCACATGGTGCATAATGAATGTATGTAATTTATTGCTGATGGTACAGGAATGTCCACTGGCAGAGATGGATTTAAAAGTAGACTATAATGGGCCTGACACGTCAGTCAATGAAGCAGATCCTTAAGACCATAATGCAAAAAGAGAAAAATGATTGAAGATACATTTTGAAATGGGACAATAAACCAGATTCCTGTCCTTTTGGTGGACTTCCGATGGTTTTTCTGTGGAGGTGCATTTAGCACATGTTAATTATTTGTCCTGTATGCTTCTTGAGAGAATCTTTTTGAATTTGTATTTAGTATACATGAGTTTAATTTTGTCCCAATAATATTTTTTTCTCGTTTTGCAAAACTGTCTTTGGGGTTTCTGTCACTGGCTTGATAGGGTTGCCAGCTCTGGGTTAGGGAATACTTGGAGATTTGGGAGGCAGAGCCTGAGTAGGGCGAGTTTGTGGAGGGACTTTCAGTGGGGTATAATGCGATAGAGTCCACCTTCCAAAGTGGCCATTTTCTCCAAGTGAGCTAGTTTCTGTTCCCTGGAGATCAGTTGTAATCCCAGGAGAACTCAGACACTACCTGGAGGTTGTCAACCCTACTGGCTGACAAGTCATGTCCATTACAGTTATACAGTGCGGTGCTGTTTAGTGTTTTTTCTTTCTGTTTGTACATGCTGTGTTCCCTTTTGGTGTTGTTTAAAAATAAACTAGGCGCATTCTTGGAGGATAGGTCTAAACGGCTACTAGCTGTGATGGCTGAATGGTTGAATGGAGTCTCTGTGTTCAGAGGCAATAGACCTCTAAATACAATTTACTGAGTGAGGGTGGTGTGAGTATCAGCTATTGCCTTATTGCCTTCCCTGTTGGCTTCCCAAGTGTTTCTGATTGGCTACTGGAGGAAATAGGATGCTTCACTAGAAGGACCTTTCATCTTATTCAGCAAGGTTCTTGATTTCTTAACCACTAGGCTATTAGAGAAAAACCTTGGCACCTAATAATGTTAGATTTTTTCATATACAATTTAATTATAGTTTAGCTTTCACTTAGCATCTATTAGAACTTTTATGTGGCTCAGTAAAAAGCAAGTAATGCAAAGAATGTGGTATAAAACTTACATATAATTTTAAAGATGTATGCGTTAGATACAGCAATTGCTTTTATGCTTGATTCACTGGGTTGCTGACAGCTCATTAGGGCTGAAATTAATTTTTCCCTTTAGGTTGTTAATTTAGGTTTATTGAGTGTAATGCAGAAAGCCTGCTAGAAAACAGCCTGACTGTAAAGCTAAATGATATTTGTAGAATGGAACATTACATGTACTTACACTACATCTTGAAACCTCTTGCTTTGATAACAAAAAAGACCTCTGCTATGTTCTGTGGAGGCAACAAAAAAGACTTTCACATTTAAGCGTGATTTGATGTGCTCATTATTTTTACTTTGCTGGAATAAGTCTGCAGCAGATATCAAGCTTGCATAGTCTACTAGTATACTATGACTTTGGCCTGGAATGCATATAATCATGTTGATATTTTAACTGCATTTAAAAGGTTGGGAGAGGGGTACACACTCAAGTGCTCTGTTCTCCAGTATACCCCTCTGTCAACATCTGAACTGTGTCAGTTCGAGCCCCGTGCTGGTGTGAGCTGCCAGCCTGTTGTCCCCAGCTCATCATCCACCCAGCGATTCGAAAGCCTCGGCGAGTAGATAAAATGGGAACCACTCCTTAGAGAGGGTGGGCACACCAACTTCCCCTCTGGGAAAGGTGTTAGCTGTCGGTTGGGGACGTCTTGATCCAGGATCCGGAAGGCGGAAGATCTACTCGGCTACGAAAAATCCCTGGAGTGGGATGCTCCAGCCAGGCGGTGGCAGTGTGGTGACACGACATATGGGTCCTGAAGCCACAACGTCATCAAGCCGGTTGACGCAGCCGTTCTGGACATGACTGTGCCAAGCCAGAACGTTTCCACCGTGCAGTTACAGCGTGTGCAATTAAATGAATTATATATTGTCTCCCCTATCCCCTATGAAACATTGCTAGTCCCCTGTCTAAAGAGTAACTGTAAATCACTTTGAGCCCACTTGTGGGGAAAGCGATTAATAAATTGAAAGCATTATTGTTGTTGTTGTTAATAATAATAATAATAATAATAATAATAATAATAATAATAATAATAATAATAATAATAATAATAATAATAATAATAATAATAATAATAATAATAATAATAATAATAATAATAATAATAATAATAATAATAATAATAATAATAATAATAATAAACTGCTATGTATTGGTCAGTTCTAACCCGAGTTAATGGTAGTTAGATTCATCTTCGAGGTTTCTGTGCAGGTACACACGGGGACTGCGCAGGCCAGCTGCTGGAAAAATTCCAAGCTTTCTAGAGGACTAGGTGTGCACCCCCTCCTCCCTCTGGTACTTTTCCTCCAGAACAATCTCATGACCAGGAGGAAGGGTGCTGCTCCCTCTGTTCTCTGTTTTTCTTCACCTCATACTTGGGCTGAGGAGAATTTTTTCTCTGTTTTCTTTTTGATCATCGATAGTCATTCTAGTGAAGAACAAACTACAATTACAGAAGAAATGTTTCTGGACTACCTCAGGATTGGGCCAGCTGACACTCTCAAATGATGCTGTTAAACAGCCATTCTCTGCACCTTAACTGCCTACAGATTCACACAGCAGAGCTGCCTGCTCTTCCTGTTACCGTTTTCACTTGAAGGCATGTATGAATAGAGTGGGACTCAGAGGAGCTCTTTTCAGAGGCTTTGGCTATGCGCTAGCCTGAATAAAGGCACAACCTCTCTCCGTGGTGAGGTGTAATGAGACAGAGCCTCGGACTTACTGGCTCCTTTCAAAGGTTTTGGCTTCATGCCAGCCTGAATACAGGCACAGTGCCCTCCGTGGTGAGGTATGGTGTGACAGCAGATTCACTGGTTCTTTCAAAGGCTTTGACTGCGTGCCAGCCTGAATAAAGGCACAGTCCCCCTCCTCCGCTTCATCTGCTCCAAGGGGAAGAACCTAGAGGTGTTGCCGGATGGAGCCTCTGATGTCGTAGCCTCAGCAAAATGACCTGATGTCAAAACCACCTAACCAGGAACTGGTTTGTCGGCATCAGTCCCTTCTTTTTGGAGTCATCGGCGATCTCCACTCCAACAGTCGTTGCTGGGATATTCACAATCCCCATGACATCAAAGCATTTCCTCTTCTCACTGTCGCTCTTCATCATTGACATGGAGTCAACCTTCAACGTCTCTAAGTCATTCTCCATAGGGCTTGCTTACCCCAAGGTTGACAGTTTCAATCCCTTTG